TCTATCAAAGGCAAGTCTAGTCACAGGACTTGAAAAATGTAATGTTCTCTGTGTGAATACAATATCAGTTGTAATTACAATCACGAGCCTACCTTCTTTTGGTGACAAGTCCACCTCCTTCAGGATTCCTTGCAGCACAGGATTTTCCCATGGGCCTCCTGCTTTGATGATCTGCTTCACATGTTGAAGGTAGATGTTCCTGTGCCTCTGGAGCTGAGTGCTGCACTCCTGTAAAAGTGTAAAGAAACAGATTCATTCAAATTCTCTAGAAAAAGACAAAGATTCTGGTTAGCCTACCAATCACAATAATGACTTTAAGATATATACTATACTTAAGATAACTTGGTTTGTAGACTAGTGGTTATTTTGATCCTAACAAACTGAGGCTAAAAACACTTGTGTTTCTAAGGTATTGGCTAGATGTTAAATACTTAACACTTACAGCTAGCTAATTAAAAGTATGGCAACTATGTCAACGACAATGTGTTATGTGAACAGGAAACACAAGGATGTCATTGGGTCAGTTTCTTTTGTTTACCTGGAAAGAATCAAGGATATCCTTTAAAGGCATTTCCACAAATTCTTCTTTGCTGAAAAAGAGCATCAGCTCAAAGTAGCTCCTGCAAGAGAGAAAGAGGAACATGAGCTTGCATCAACACAACCCCCCCCCAAATAATGACACCCACCCATATCCTTACATTTATCTGATCAAATCGTTCACATCTGTTATACATACATGTGCAGGTGTAATAAAGTAGTTCACAATCACATTGCAAAACTGTAGCAGCTTTTCGTTGAGGCAACAAGGTGCCAACAGTAAGTTACTGCTGCAGGATATTTACTTTAAAGGAGTTAGCGCTCTTCATTTAAAAAAGCAAGGCCTTATTGTTCATTAAGGTGTATGCTTTTTTTGGAGTAAATCAAGAATTTATCTGAAAAACTCATGATTCTAAGGTTTACTTGTAAATTTAGAAGTGAAAAACATCATCCCCCAGGGGAACACCCTGAAACACTGATTTACCATAATATAACAATATGCTGCACGACACTTTCACCAACAGTTATACAACCCCATTTATTATTCCATACAAAACAATGGTCAGCAAAACCCAAACATTAAAGGGTTTTTTTCACACATGTTTCTCGTGATAACGGTTTCCGCCCTGTGCTTCTACTGACAGCAAATATTTCAAGTCAATATGTCACACATAGCTACTCACAAGGCCAGACTGCTGAGAACATAGTGGATGTGCTGACAATCATCAGGAAAGGCAGCAGTGGATTTGGTGAAGCTGCAGAGCGCCGTCCGCAGGACCTTCAGTTGAGGGAGAGGAACTTGCCATTGCCCCGTGTACTCTTCAACCAACTGTGAAAGAAGAACATAACAATGTAAATATAAACAAACAAATCAATATTTCACCATTCATGTTTTTCAATCAAATAACATCTGAGGACAAACAGAAGGACTCGCTCCTGCTGTAAGACGACTGAGAAAAAAAAAAGGGGCGGCAGTAGTTCAGTCTGTAGGGACTTGGGTTGGGAATCGAAGGGTCAAGTCCCGGCACGGACCAAGTCCAGAAGTTGGTCTGGTAGCTGGAGAGGTGCCAGTCCACTTCCTGAGCACTGCAGAGGTGCCCTTGAGCAAGGCACCAAACCCCCCCACCAGCTCAGGAGCGCCCGCTGTGGGCAGCTCCATCACTCTGAGACCTCTCCATTAGTGCATGTCCATAAGATCCTGTTTGTGCATGTGTGTGTATTTCAGCCTATGTTTGTGTAGCATGTTTACTAGACAAAGTGTAAACAGATTTCCCCTCACAGGATCAATAAAGTATAAATTATTGTTATTATTATTGTTGTTGTTGTTGTTATGTTAAACACATGTTCGTCTGTTTTGACTTCTTGATGGTAACTGAGATAATACATTATTTTAGATAGCGTAGTGACTAGTATGTGATAAGTGTTAATCTCTAAGCTACACCTCAAAATGAAAGGTTAAAATCAAACAACACCTGCGCTGATGTAACAAACTTCTGGTATTTACTTTGTTCATCATGAAGTATTTAAAGTTAGTGTTTGTGCTGATACGACACATCAAATACTATCGTTTCTGATTTTTTAACGAATATATCAGTTCAGTATTTTGTTTAACTTAGGTTGGAAAGCAGGCTGTAATGTGTTTATCACACATAATTGTTTATTATTAACCTTTTCATTAGCTCACTAGAACAACGTTAACCTCATACCTTTAATTAGCTTAGCTTCATGACTAGCCTCAGAGCTAAGCTTTATCCACTGTCAGTCAGCTGTTTGGAAAAGAAACCTACACAAAGTTACGTAGCTACTAACACAGTTTATATCTAAATACCATTGTAACCACTCCTGGTGAGTTATACGATACTCTGAGCAAAACAACAGCATAAATAGAGCTTGTCTGGAGGCTAAGGTTAGCTAGCGGAGCTAATAGCATTGTAAATAAACACGCACCGACCGGGTTCACCACGAAGCACAGAGAAGTCTAACTCACCTCACAAAACGCGGAGCAATAGCATTTACTCGTGCGAGACGATTCCTCGCTGCAGTATCTGATACATAATGTGTCCAGAGTTAATTCAAGCCCCTCTGTTTCCAAATCACTTTCGCTGTCCGCCATACTGTCTGCTGTATCCAGCGCATAATCAAAGTTGCCAGGTTGGTGACGTAGCATCCTCCTTACACCCCACGGCCAAAACTTGGCAACCCCATTCGCTGAAATAAGCAACAAATGTGACTTTCGTACAAAGGAAGAAGATAACATCAACACTGTTTAAGAATTTCCAGAAGTTATAGTTTTTTGAAGAGCTCTGGAGAATTTTATTGACAATCATACGAATTATTTGATTTATTTGGTGTCTTGATGTAGAATCATTGTAATGTATGAAAATAAAATAAAAACTGTAACAGACAATTAACCTTTTGATAGCCTAGTATTTGAGAAATTTCACAAGTCCAAATTCTGTAAATCTCACCCACTCTCACTGTATTCATCACTGAATTTAAAATGCTAACTTGCAGACAGTATTCAGGCTTTTGTATTTCTGAAGAAAATTAACTTTAATATTTTAAGATTGCTTACTATATATTTTTTCCCATTGACACAAGAATGACCTACAGCCTAATTTGAGTTTTTGCCACTTATTCATTTAATCATACAGTGACAGGAGCTCAAGAGAAATGAGACAAATTAACCATTATGCAGACTTTGTTCATGAATTTTTCCGCTATTGAAATCATGGAACAAAAAGTTGACTTCATCATGAAATTGTAATTTTCATAATTTAAATTACATGAACACATTTTGGCCTAACTAACAATCAGGCAATGTGCGCAGTTTCTGAAACTGATGCAGCTGAAAGTAATTCAATCACCACTGATTGAATGATGTTTATATTTATGTTAAGTGCTCTTCCTACGATTAAATGTTAAAAATTACCTCTGTGAAACAGGGCTTGTCTTGTCTTGTCTTCCTCTCTGAAGACTAATTTAACCTAAATGGTGGTTGTTTCTTAAATTTAACTACTATGAAATATCAACATTAGAAAAGATGGTCATGTGTAGACTTTCGCTGTATCTTGAAGTTGTTTTTTTATTTTTATTTGAAGAGGGATTGTGGGGAAAGGTTCTTTACCCCTGAGAACCCTGACAGTTCTTTTAGGTCCTGGATGATTCAGCTGCAGGCATCCTGCTCTCCTCACTATGATGGACAAAGAGAGAAGCCTTTGTTTGTGCCTGGTGCCTGCACTGATATCCCTGAGGAATGTACATACTGCTGCTGCAGTTGTTTGTGAGCTTTGGATTCAGACTGGTTCGCGAGCTCCTGTCATAACAGGTGGGCTCAGTGGGTTTGTGAAAGCACCCCATAAGTCCGTGTGAGCATGGGTTTACCCCCTATCCTATTATAAGCTGTGGGTTTTATCTGTCAAAGTCTGTAAAAGCCTTTATTTTGTCCATAATGTGTGCTGCAGAGGTTTACAATACAGCAAAACCACTGGCTCTTTTTTCTGTCAGTGGTAACCGGTATTTGTGTAAATAGCTGCCAGGAATCATGAGTGGGAAGCCCTGCTTTTCCTCATCCTTGTTTGACGCCCACTGATAGCAGGTTTTCCTGCGCAGGGTGCCTTAGTGAAGGAGGGATAGCGTGAACTTCCACTTTTGTAGCCCCTGTAGTGAGGATTCTGACTGACAGGTAAATAAGAGGAGACTGGTCATGTGACCCACAAAAAAACACTCACTTTGAACTGATGGGAATTAAAGAGATACAATTCTTTCCTAATTTAGAATTAGACAAAATATTTGTATCTTGATGACTGTATTCTGTTAGTGCTGTCTTTTATAGGGAGCGTTGGGTAAGTTTCCAATGAACTACAAAGCGTTATATAGATGTGCAACTTTGTTTAGCAAGTGGGCCGCATTAGTTTGATTATCACTGTTTTATTGGCAACCAACAGGGAACATAGCAGGTTTGGTCATGTTTTATTCATATTTATAATTAATTGATATTAGAAGTTGACTGGCGGGCCTCTGTGAGTGAGGCACCCCTGATATTGATGCACATCCAGGATCAGGTTTGACTAAATCTATATATTTAATTTTTGGTTTTTTTTATTTTTGTTTAGAAAATTTTCTGAAACATTTTACTGTCTTCATTAGTTCATTTAGTAGACAAAATAAGGATCATATTTCCAAACGAGTGATTGGTGCTGATGTTAGTGGGAACTTGCCTTTTTTTGATGTCTTACTGCAAGCCACAAGGTGGCGCCATCAGAATGTAAAATACCAAGCCTGTTTCTATATACCAGCAGACTAAAATAAAGGTTTTGAGTAAATCATATCAATAATTAATGATGTGCTCAGATGACTATTCATTATAGTAACTTGATACTTCTCACAGACTCTCCAAACACAAAAGGGAAAAGTACTGTCTGGGCAAAAATGAAACAATACATTATATGGACTGTTTATTATTGATTATTGAGACAGTGAGAGACAAAGAAAGAAACAGTATACAAATACTGGTCATACTGTCAGTGATGTATGTATATTACACACATTGAATTATCTCTCTGGGATACAGTACACCCTCACACTTGACTCATCCACAACATTTCCATCAACATTTCGTGTGCCCTCTTGGAGGCAGTAAAGGAATAGTCGTTCTATTTCAAGTACTGAGTGGGATTAATGAAATGAGGATTTCTCCACCAGTGGTTTTCACATTCATTAACCTAATGTTGGCTATCGCATTGAAGTGAAATGGAATGGGCTGTAATGGCTCCAAAATAGATAAATAATTAAATATCGTAAGAAAAAAAACCTAAACGTAAACATAACAGGTTGTGCAAAAACATCAGTTAAAGTGGCAGTGTCATAGAACCTTTTCCCCTTATAGCTAAAGGTTTCTCCAAATGTCAAACTTTTACATTGAAAGCTGAAACTAGCAGAAATGTGTATTTTGATCCACATCTTTCCCATTTTTTATTCAGAATTTGTTAAAAATGGAAATTTGGTCCTAGATTACAAAACATTGTCTGTAAATCTTGGGGTGCTGTGTTTTTTATACATATTCTGTAATTCAGCTAGCAGTGTGGACTAGATAGAAAGGAGGTCATTAGATGGAACAGACATGATGGTGAGCTATTTCAAGACCCTTTAAATTGGGCTGGAAAGGTCAGTAATGGCCTATTTTCTAAAAAAAAAAACAACAACAACATGTCAGTGTCCCCTCAAAAACACATCAATTAACATCAGGGAGATCTCAGGCTAATAGCAGGGCCTGGATTTCGACTCTGCGGAGCTGGTGTAATGTAGGCTGTTGACCTGGTGGAGTGACTGGAAATGGGTTCTGAATCCTTTTTGAGTTTCTTCTCTCTCACACACATTGCCTCAGAATTCAGATAGTAATCTCTGCCCTTTAGTTTGTTTCTTCCGAGTTACACATGTGTGATTGTGTTCTGTATGATCATCTCTGATCGTAGCCATCAGAGGTAATTACTGCACCTAACAAGTCTTTGGAAGGCTTTTTTGAAGTCCTCGTTGAATATGGTGTAGATCAGAGGGTTGATCAGTGAGTTGAGGTAGCCCAACCATGTCAGAAAGTCAGCCATCTCCACTGAAGTGCTGCAAGAGCCGCAGGTGTTGACGATCACCTCCTTGACAAAAAACGGCAACCAACAGATGACAAAGGCTCCTATTATCAAACCCAACGTGGATGCTGCTTTACGCTCCCGTGAGCCTGAGATCCTCGGCCCTTGGTACAGCTGACTCCGACGTGACTCGCTGCGTGACTCAGGCCGGCGAGTCTTGCGCTTGAAAGCCTTCACTGACGCCCGCACCTTTTCACGCGGAGGTTCCTCAGTTGAGGGTTCAGAGAACGATTTCTCCGGTGGGCTTATGGGGTCCGGACTTCGAGGTCCCCCGTCGATGTCCCCATCTCCCGCAGTGAACGACGACGGAATCATGCTCCCGTTGGTCATACATGAGTGACGGCTCGCCCTGCTGGCCTCCCTGCGCATATAAAGGGTCTGAGCAGCCTTGTAGATTTTGTAGTAGAGGATGAGGATGAGCAGAAGGGGGATGTAAAATGCCCCGAAGGTGGAGTACAAGGTGAAGGCCAGGTGATGGTGGATGATGATGCACTGGTCTTCCAGGTCTCCTTCCTCGCTGAAATGCCGCCACAGTAAAGGAGGAAGCGAGACAAGGATGGACAAAAGCCACACCACCGCCACCATCGCTCCAGCTCTGGCCCCTGTGCGCTTCCGAGAGTACTCCACTGCATCGGTGATGGCCCTGTAGCGGTCAATGGCGATCGCAGCGAGATGAAGGATGGAACATGTGCAACAGGTGATATCCACACTTAACCAGATGGTGCACACGACCTTGCCCATGATCCAGGTCTCCATCTGGATATACATGATACTGAAGGGCATGACCAGCACAGCCACCAGCAGGTCGGTCACAGCTAAAGAGCAGATGAGGTAGTTGGCCGGGTGGTGCAGCTTGCGTGTGACGGCGATGGCTGTGATCACCAGGCAGTTGAAGAATGTAGTCAGGATGGCCACAATAGAAAGAGTCACTGTGAGCAGGACTTTACTTGTAGGAAGTTTAGTGGTCTCCAGTGAGTCATTACCACTAGTGTTAGTGGCAAACACCCCCTCTGTGTAATTGAGGAAATCCATTCTGCAAAGAAAATGGAAAGAGAGTTGTGGCTTATACAGGGAGGGAGCTTAGGAAAATTGGATTTTTTTTTCTTCATATCAGAAGAAGACAAACGATTTTCATTCAACATCTTTTGTTTAATCTGGTTATAGTCAGGCACAGATTGTATCAGTTAACATATGAGTTGGATAAAAAACAAGAACAATCACATTATTCCACATTGTTCCTTTGGAACATTCAAAGACATTATTTGCTAACATTTTCAACATCAAAAAGGATGAAACAAATGTTGTCATCCAATCTTTTCAAGGTCTTCAAACACTTAAGGTTGGCAAATACGCTTTGAAAATCTTCTACTCTTCATGCTCACAAGTTTGCTGAAATCTTGTAAGTAAAAATCCAGCAATCCAGTCCTACCTGTCTAAAAACTAGGCTGTGGCATCCAGTTGGTTCAGTGTGCAGCAGATTGTCTGCTCTGATCCATCCCGCCCGCTAGCTTTTCCATCACATCACCTCTGTCGTTCACTCAGCACCTAAGAGAGAGAGAGAGAGAGAGAGAGAGAGAGAGAGAGAGAGAGAGAGAGAGAGAGAGAGAGAGACACTGTTAAGTGAAAGAGAGATAGAGAGAGAGGAGAAGGGAGTGACAGAAGATTGACGATAGAAAAAGGGCGACTCAAAAGCGACAAAGTGCAGCCAAGGACGAGTACACTTACACAACGAGAGAAATCACTGCAGATAAAATGAAAGAAGTTTTCAGAAGCAAATGTTTGCATGTGTGTTTGACTTTGTTGTCACTCACTTCCTGTGAATCACTAACTCTGATCCCAGCTCTGTGGCTTTTATTTTCAGCTTATCAGTTGACTATTTGCAAATGAGACATCTGCTCTTCTTTATTTTTGTGATCAACATTTTTTATTTTTTACAGAACCAAATTTGGAACATAGGACAATCAAACAAGGAAAGCAATTATAGGCCTGCACTCCACCTTTGTGGTTTTCAACCTTGGTTAGAGTGCACAGTTTGGACATTTTTTTTATAATTTCCACGCTCAAAAGCACATATACAACAGACGCCCATCCTCACATACAAACACAAACAAAGACACACAAGCACCTCTATACACTACAATCGTAATGACAAGGAGCTTGAGATAAATAAGGATACACGGTGTGAGGAGCGGGCAGAACAGATAAAAGGAAAGAAGAAAGGAAAATTATATACACTATGTATACACACAGAAATACATGATGGAAATAAAGAAAAAAGAGAAGTATAAAGGGATAAAATGAAAGATACAAAGGGGGGCTTGGGGCTGAAACCACAAGGGAAGCTGTGGCCATGGGAGGGTTTGGGAAATGAGCAATCAATAAACTACTTAATATCGCAGGGAGGACGGAGAATCTGCTGTTCTAATTAGGGTCAGTCCAGTGACCCTGATCATTGGCTCTGTTATAAATATGATCATGATGAGTCCTTTGTATCATATGATAACAGTGGATATCAAAATTTTACTTTTTTCTAATCATTGACACCAACATGCTCTTGTTTAACCTTAATATAACATCACACATTCAGCTTTGACAAAAAAACAAACATTACTCTTTCATTTTGGGAATTCATATATATTTGTCAACTCCTAATTAACCAGGGGCCACGATGAGTTAATCAAAATGCACAGATATGCCTGTCATTGCAGTTCCCCTTCACACTCACTGCATTGCTCAGTATCCTGAAGACATGAGTGAAAACTGTTGCTATAGAAACACAAGAAGTACAGTACTTTTTTTTTTCTCCTAATGTGGTGATGGAGCAGAGGCAGCCAGACCCTGACTGTCAGGTTTCTACTGAGACCATACGATTCCCAGGAGGCCGGTCAGGGGGGTAGGCGGGTAGGCAAGGCTTGATGTCAGTTGACAGCGATAAAAGATTTCAGCTCACTTAACCCTAACACATGGCAAAGTGACTGCTAATAGAATTCACCAGGAATACTTCCAAAGTGCCTTCTGGACAAAAAAAAGCGATTTTGTGTGTGTGGAGTGATATTATTTTGCTGTTGGACCACAGTTTAGCACTTCTTACTGTATATGATATATAATCTGATGCAAAATATAGAAGAAACTCTGTTCTATAATTAGCTGTATTGTATCATAGAGGGTCTGCAGAGAGTGGTTTACAGCAAACGGAGCATTTCTTGAAACTATTTCCTTCTCAATGTCCCATGTTGCTTCTTTTTAGCATCATGAATCATTATGAAATGAATCATTTTTTAAGCTTTACAACATTGAGCATCTTATACAGTGTAAGTGTAGCTGAGAGTACATACAGAAGTGCAGAGGCATATGAAGAGCATTTCACTATTTCATTCAAGGTGTGGGCACTAGCTATTTCTCTGCCCAACTGAGTCACCTCAGTGCTTATAGTTTGAAGGTTAAAAGGCATTCATATAAAGACACTACTTGCGCAATGAATTCTTTAGAGTATTGAAATACCATAGCAGTGGGTTTTAAGGTCATACATGTTTAACCATCACATGAATTAAGTTTGTAGGACACCACTGAATTCACAAACCAAAAAGCTCAGAAGCTGCCATGACTAGAGTTGTACTAATATGTTGTTTACATGATGTCAAAGGTATGTGGTGATTTTCATAGCTGTAATAATAACAAAAAAAAAACATCCCCTCATGTTTCAGATGATTTGGTATAAATTGTGTTTTAGCTCAAATGTACAAATACTTCTACTTTGACAAACGTGGGCATGTTGCTTTTAAAGTTTCTACATACATGCATTTCCTTGATACACTTCTTTTATTTTTATTTATTTTGGGGGCTTTATTTTAGAGACAGGACAGTGGATAGATTCAGAAATCGGGGAGACAGAGAGTGGGGAATGACGTGCGAAAAGGAGCCACAGGTCTGATTCGAACCTGGGCTATAGTCTATAGTCTCTGTAGATGAGGTCTGCACACTAACCACTAGACTCCCAGCACTGCAAGTAATATTTGATTTAAGACATTGAAAATGTTAAAAATATGGCAATGGGCACCAGATGGCCAAGCAGTTATGACAAGCACCTCATGTACAGAAGCTCTAGTCCTTGTTGCAGTGGTCGTGGGTTCGAATCCGGCCTCGGCCCTTTGCTGCATGTTGTCCCCCATTCTCTCCTCAAAATATTTCCTCTCTCTCTTTGGCTGTCCAACCCAATGAAGGCAAAAATGAGGCAAAAATAAAAATAATAATTAAGAGTTTGCCTCCAATTATGTCTATATTTTTGTGTTTGTAGAAGATAAAACTCTTGTTGTCTTTCCCAGCCTTCTTAACACTGCAGTGCCAGACTGACTTTAAAACAGCATTTCTGGTCTATATAAACAAAGTTTTTAAAAACTAATTTTCAGCCTCTGTACAAGCAAATTACTTCCTGACGTGAAGTTTCACCACACACTTTTATAACTCTCTGTTTTTTCAGAGGAGTCGGGTATAGTCCATTATGTTGCATTGGCTACAAACTAATTCAAAACTACACACGTTTTTTTAAAACTGCTATTCCAGAACAAATTGCTTTGCTGTTTGTTTCTTCCTACCTGTGATTTGAGTCTTTAGAGACAATAAAATTGCCTTCCTCTGTATAATGATGCATTTCTACACTCTTTCTCATTTGAATGCCTTTGGAAGAAAAGCTGGTGCTTAATATGCAGAATACTTTTCACAGATAGATGGATGATAATTACCGCTGCACTTCTGTTGTGCTCTGTTGCTGCACAGATGTATTGTCAGCCCTGAGCATCTGAAATAGTTTCTTTTTAAAGCATTTGTGGACATATGTATATTTAGATCCAGTGCGGGCATAGTGGAGCATGTTTTGTGTTTGGGAGAATGTGTCCATGCGTGCATAGATGTATATGGACTGATTGATGGCATGCGTTAACAGTGCCAGCCTGTCATTATGTGCAACAAAGAAATCATCCGCCTTTGTCTTGTAAATGTTCTAAAACACACTTTCTGTTCAAGGCCATCTGAAGATAAGCTCCAGTGAGCCGGTGCGAAGCTGCTCTCTGCTTTATTCAGAAGAAAAACCCAGTGTCCTCACACGAATCCAGCAAACAAGGAAAACAGCTTTATTAACTGACTCACAGCAACACCGTTTTAAAATGATACGCTTACTTCACTCTCAGCTTCTCTGAGTGTTTGCAACATTATTTTTTCACATTAATTATCTGCTAATTATGGATAGGTTGAAACAAGATAAGAACTGGAGTTCTTATTCATTAATTGGCTCCATGAGCTGCAGTATGAGCAGATGTTTTCATCTTTTAAAAATAAATAGGAATTTTCTGAAAGTCAGAAATGGATTGAATTCATTTTCTGTAAAGAATAAAACATGTAGGAATTATTTCAGTGATAAAAAAGGCAGGAATGTAATGATTCCATCCTCAAACAGCATGTTTCACCAACAGTTTAATCGCCTGCGTACCAGCACATGAATGCTGTAAACACAAACACCGAAGCATTTGCACGCCGTAGAAGGTTGACCATCTGACATTCAACCTCTCTGCCTCTCTCTCTCTCTCTCTCTCCTCTTACAAGAGGGAATCTGCATCTGTCATGTGGAGTACAATCTCTGAAACACAAACACTCGGGCAGGATTTTCAAGCTGCCAAGTGTTGTCGTGAAGGAGGAGAGCTGCGAGAGAGCCGCAAGTGTGACTGACAGCGCTGGAAAGATGCAAAATAGATAACTAACCGTCGCACCGTAAGAGGGCACAGCAGCTCTCATTCATTTGCAGCTCTATTTGCCTGTTTTTATCTGTTATCATCTGCTCTATCCATCTAAATGTGCTGCTGGAGGTAAATGACAAAGTTAGGCTGAGGAAATGCTGCAAAGTGCTCCGTCTGAAGTGATGGATTGCTGTTTTTGTTGCTCTGAAAGTTAAAGTGGAAACAAATGTTACTTCTCAGTGAAAGTAAAGATGAATTCTACCGTCCTGGAACAAAAAAACAACCTGCATTAAAACATGATCATATACTGAGAAAATGTGTGGAAAAAATGTGTGGCACTGGGTTATGTCCCAAAGTAAAGGATTCACTTTGTCCTAAATGTTTTTTTCTTTATATATTAGTTATTATTCCAATGTCCTTTTTGGCTAATTGCTAAAATGTGTCTAACTCTAAGTGCCTCATTCTCACTGACCTGCATTTCACAGGGGTGACATCATTCCCATCACCCTGAGTGGGCTAAACTGCTGTCATGTCCACTTTACAGCAGTCACCGTTCTCAATCATTGACCTGTGTCCTCTTTTCAAGCTCCACTGGATCACTTCATGCGTGTCACAGCTGGTGTTTCACCGCACAATCACACACACACAACATGTCACCGTCAGGTCTCTCTACCTGCTTCATGCAGATAGAAGTATTAGCTCGCAAGATGCCCCCCAAGAACAGGATTTGGTGGAACTGGTTCAAGCACTCACCTCATCCAAACGGGGCAGACGTGCTGCGTCTTGTATCTGTTTGCTTGTTTGGAATATATCTTGTTA